TTAGGTAGTAATTTTACCTTCTAGATTGTAGAGACTCTTCTACTACTTTAGAAAGACCATAAATTAATAAAATCAGGTTAGAAGAGATAAATAATTAATATAGTTGATATTAGGATTAAGTTGAGAGTAGGATTGGACTAAAAACACCTCAAGATAGATTAGATTGATATCTGAGGATCCACCATTTGTAAGACAGGGTCGAAATCAGATCCTTGGCGACTAAAACAACAGCCTAAGGCAAAATAGGAGGTCATTTGAAGATCAAAGGTTAGGATTTGAGAGCTAGCTTGAAGTTCTTTGTAGAGACTTAAGAATTATTTTCAAAGGATTTTGGAAGACTTAGCAATTATTGTTCAAAGTCAGGATTTATATCAGTGATTTGGGTTTTATATAATATAATTAGGGCTAGCAATTTTGGCTAGTTCGTGCAATTGGCTTGACATCTACAATTAAAAATTTGATACTATTTGGATTATTGGGTGTTCTAATTGTATACAAAATTTTGTCATAATCTAACAGTGTGGTTTAAAGATATCTAGTTTTTAGCACAAGAGGATTTTAGAAGGTGGCAATTTGAGGTTGGATAGGATTTCTATGATATCTGAAGATCTATTAGTTGGATTAAGGTCAAAATTAGCATGGTGTTGGAAGACTTAAAGATCAAGCTACACACTAATTTTGAGACAAAGTTAATATTTGGAAAGGGAGAAATCATTGCTAGGATTTTTGCTTCACTTTTCAAGCTGGCGGCTGAGTGATATTAGTACAATTTTAGGAGGTTTTCTCACAATTTGTAAGTTGGATTGGGCTAAACATTCTTGAGCATATAGAAGACTTGCATTGACAATTGCATGCAAAATTCCATATCAAGTGGATAGTTGGATTGGATGTTACAGCTTGTTAAAGCTCACTGATTAAGATTGGGATTTACAAGAAAAATCTAAATTACTTAAATATAAAAGTAACAAGATAATTGAGATATATGTATAGTTAATACTACTAAAAAGAGTGTTTTTAGCACTTTTGAATTAAAATTCAGATTATATTCTTCTTGTATGGATGAAACCTATTAGGATTCTTAGCTACTTGTGAAATATAATCTCACCTTCCACAACTAAGTGCCCGATGCATTCTTGAGCAAAACGACACGTAATACAACAACAGATATGATATTAAAAAATATATATTATAGTCTATAAAAAATCTTACAAATATAGCAAAGAAGGTCAAAGCTTTTCATCAACAACATCTATTAAAACTAAGATGAAGAATAGAAAATCTTTGTTATAAAAGAAACACAATTTAGGAAAGGTTCTATTTTACCTTCTATTATTATTTGTAGTTTTTGTATAATTATGGAATTAAAGAGATAGAAAATTAATAGCTAGCACATTCAACTCAAAAGCCATCATTTTCTGACTTATCAAATAAGATATTAGAATTATTACATCCTTTAAGATAACATAATAACGATGAAGACCTTCAAGAACAACATGTTCTTCTTTAAATAGATAGCAAGATACAACACATTTGGTATTATGACCTGAGAAGAGACTCTTGATGTTTGATAATTTTATTGGAGGTATGAACAATTCTTGATGGTATTACAAATATTTTGTTTGAAAGAAGTTACAAAGGTTTCAACAATGATTAAATAATAGGGTGATCTTCTTGCCTTGGAATGAGACATTATTGATGGTTGAGAGGACCTATTAATAACCTTGAAAGGGAAGAAAGATCAAAGTATGTGGCAAATAAAATTTGCCACATCTTAGACTTTCTTAACATATAATTGCCATTCTTCATGGAATTCGTTTCTAGAAGGAAGGATAATGTCATGAATATATATCTACTGTAATTTTTATCTAAGTAATATGAAAAGATAGAAGTAAATAAAAATAGAATAATTTCATAATACCTTCTAGAAAAACTTTGTAAAAGCTTCTTAGATACTATTTTAACTTTACATGTGTTTGTAGTTGATTGATAGATTAGAAATTTGGTCAATAAGCTAACCACATACCACATGCATTGATAGCTTATAAAACAAGCTAATGATATGGCATCTATATGGAAAACTTGCCTTATAAGTTAAGATACATGTCATATAAAATCAACACATTATCTTAATACGTGAAGTCTTGCTTGAGAATGCTCTGAGCACTTGGCTGTAGAAAGTAGAATGGAAATTACAACAACAAAATCTTAATTCTAATAGAATACTAACAATGCTAAGTAAGCTTTAATTAAATTCAAAGAAACTTTAAAGAAATTATAAAGAAATAATAAGAAATCTTAAAGAAATATTAAAATGATCACAAATATATCTCAATTAAATCTCAATCCAATTATAATTTAATCCTAGTTAAAATCCTATTTGACTTCATTCAAACTTTTAGGCCAAAAACTAACTAAATTTTAAATCCTAAATAAATCCTTAATCAAATCCTAATCAAATCTTAAATCCTAAACCAAATCCTAATCAAATCCTAAATTCTAAACCAAACTCTAAACAAATCCTAACCTTAAATCAAATCCTAACCAAATTCTAAATCCTAAATCAAATCCTAATCAAACCGTAAATCCTAAACCAAATCCTAACCAAACCCTAAATCTTAAACCAAATTTTAATCAAATCCTAAATTCTAAATCAAATCATAACCAAACCCTAAATCCTAAATCAAATCCTAACTAAATCCTAATAATTTCTATAATAGATTTAAACCTCAATAACTAATAAATAAACTATTGATTTTAATTCAAAATTTACAAACTTATTAAAAATTAAATTGACAACAAGCACAAAAAAATCAAAAAAGATTGGAATTACCAAATAGACAATAACCTCAAAAACATGCTCGGATATTAGCCAACTTCCTTCTCCGACCTCGATGCCAATCTTTCAAAGCTAATATCTCTCTTTTTCACTGTTCGATTGATCTCAAAATTCTCATATATGTAGGAAAATAAGTTTAAAATCCTTACACACAAATTTCACTCCAATCCAACAAGTAGATAGCAAGAAATCTTAAAAACCCTTACTAGACCAAAAATTCTACTTTCTTAGACCTTGACCCACTTAAACCTCAATAATCCTCAATTCAACTATTAGATCAAGCTAAAATTCACAATACATATTAAGCACAATTAAAACCATTAATCTACAAAATTTCATTAGTAGATCTATTATAGAACTCTCAAAATTGCTCAAAACGTCAATCCTATTTTATTTCACAAAAATCCAAGTCATCCAAAACAAACTTGACTTTATAAAGCCCTTACAAAATCATTAAAAATTCAAATAATACAAAAAATACACTTATACAAACTTTATTTAGTCTGCTATCAAAATCCACTCTTTTATCTCCAAAAGAACCTCGGAGTTGCTATAGGTGCTTGGTTTTGTGCCTTGGGATCTGATTTTGATCCAAGTTGATAACTTGCCTTCCTTGAGTATCAAATTTTATCTTTTTGAGTTAATTTTTGTTAAAATCAACTTCTAACTTCCTCATATAAATGTTCATATTCTTTATTTTTCTAATCTATTTTATTTTGCCTTATTTATGGTCCAACAAAGTAAATAGAAGGCCATTTTGTAAAAGGCAATATTGGTACTTTTTACTTTTACTACCCTTTTAACTATTAACTATATTTCTAAGAAAATTTGTTCTAATAATTTGAACTAAGTTCTCTAATATTATAATAATTTCTATACTTTTTCACCTATTAGTCGTATTACATCACGACAACGTTTTTAGAAGTCCTATAGAATGTCACCAAATAGATCCTAAGTAGATAATATATATAGGAACAAGAGTGAAGCCTTCTTCACTCTTGTCAACTCCTTTCTTGCTTCTAGTCTAGTTTCAAGAGTCTCTAGTTTCTTTATCTTTTTGCAATATCCATTCTAGTGTCTTTTTTAATATACATACTTCTCTATTTCTATTTTTTCATATTTCTTTGAAAAAGTCTCACTTGTTTATTTTCTTTCATTGAATTCTTGTTCTTGACATTTACAAAATTTGCTTATTTCCTTCAGAATTAGGTCTTTGTTTATTATAATTTCTTATGGTTTTGTTCTTGAAAGCAAACTAATATAGCTACATACAAATCTTGGAGGGAGAGCCTCACCTAATAATAACCAAGTTGGATATGGAAGCATGTTCTTGCAATGTAAATAGTAAGATGTTAACATTTCATACTCTTCTTCCAAGTCCTTTGGAAGGTGAATTGTGGGACCATCACATGTTGCAATTTCATAAATTAAAGAACATAAAAGTTTGAAATGCAAATCATTTGTTCTTTATATGCAATTTGTTTTCAAACTATTGCAATGTAAGTTAATCAAAATTTTCAAGGTATTGTCATGAGTGATAGTTATTTGTCCTATTATAATTATGATTTTGTGTCTTGTTGCACCAATCTCATTGTTTTCAAAATATGATGACTATGTGTAGATACACAAGAATTATTGATAATCGCCACATATTATCTTAGATATTTTTAGAAGCATATATTTTCTCAAGACAATAGAAATATAGAAAACACACAGTTTGCAATGTTTTTATAAAAAAAATTCATGAACCCAAAAGAATGCACTTAACATTTTATGCCATGTGCATACAAAACCAAAAGAATGATCTTAAAGTTCTTTTTACTTACAAATATGGCAACATTCAAACATAACACAGACGCTTTTTAACTATTAAAAGAAAAGATATTATAACCAACTAATAAAGACCCCCCATGAGAAAGGTGGCAGAAGGGGGTGGATGCTGACGAGGCAGCCAGGAGGGTAAGAATGAACGGAGCGCCGTGGACAAGCACGACGCTGAGGTGGAAACGAAGAGCCGTGAGGTGGACGAAGCCACAGCACAGCGTGGCGGTGGGACCGGACACGTCAGAATCGAACAAGGCGCCACGTCAGCTGACGAGACCCGAATGATGTCGACCCACCACCTCAGTAGCGTTGCTTGCCCCGCCCTCTGGCAAAGCCCGTTTTGAATAGCGAAGAAGAAGAAGAAGCTCTTATTTCCATGGCCCTGCACCTTGTTGTCTCTTAGCCTCGGCGATCTTCTTCTTCTCTCGGACGGCGATTTAGCTACACACGGATCGAGTAATTCTTGTTCCAATTCCCTATTCTGCATGCAGACGCTCCGCTTTCCGTATCGGGTTCACAACCGCCGCTATAATTTCTTGTTTGCGACGGAGTTCATGAGGGTGAGGGAACTACGAGAGCAGGTGGATTGATTTTTATCACCTCTTGCGATTGGAGGGCTTGTGCTGGCTTGGTGGAGTCTGCGTGAAGCGTTGGAATTGTACTTGGCCGCTGCGTGACGTTGCGATTGTATACGTTTCATCTCTTCTTCTTTTTTTCTGCAGGTTCGTGGTTTCGTTTTGTTGTGGTTTGGAGTAAGTGGACTTATGTGTTTGGAAATTTTATTTTTGTGCGTTTGGATTTGGTTTAGTTACATGCTTTGTGGAAGGAGGGGGTATGGAAATCGGGAAGGTTGATGGTAGTTGTTTTTCTAGACCCTTCTCTTCCATCGGTTGTGCGCTGAGGACATCATACTTGTATGCGGTCATACGAATTCCTAAGGAATTTCGTTAGAATATCGATTGCTGACCTCATCTGCTGCTAGCACAAGCTTCTCAATGAGAAGTGTTCAGTCAGTTAGCAGATATCGTTTGTCCCTTGATTCATAAAGCATATTATGTTATATAAACATATAGATACATATATATAGATACACAAATATATATATATATATATATATATATATAGATACTCTTTTCTTTGCGAAACGCTTGTGTGCAGATCTTAATAAAGAAACATGTGATTCTTCTCCTGATCTCTCATATGACTGAAGCCCTTTGTGTCAACAGGTGAAATATGATGATTCCCTTTGTCAGAAGAATAGTCTATAGATCTCGTTCTCTTGCCAAGTACCACAATGAAGCCCTCCAACAACCTGGATATCTTTCTTCTATTTTCAACTTGCAAGGAAGCAGTCCAGCTTTAACTGAGCAGTGCAAATCTGGTACTTTAAATGAAGAATGTCCTGGAGTCCTAGGTGATCTACCTAAAAATGGAACCATCTGCGGTCATCGCATGCATAGTACGATAGGGTTTCGAGTTGCGGAGCCATTACGGCAAGGGATGACAGAGATGGTGCCCGACTTGGCTTCTTTTCCATCAAATCTTCGCTACGAGGACCTGGTCATTACAAGATCGAAGAGCTTACAGGTTTGGGTCCTCTGAAATTGGAGAGATAATAGTAGAGATCAAATGTATATCTGCATGTCTAGCAAACCATTCTCTCCCAACTAGTATCATGGCTTTGGGGGCTGAAGAACCCAGGGTGTGAACTGGGAATGTTGGAACCCTCAAACTTTGCTAGGCATACTGTGGTTACAGCCGAGAAGTCCTTTAGTATTTTGGCAAGTGGTTCAGAAACTTCTAATTCATCCGAATTTTATGTTTGTCATATGAATTGCTGACCATCTCCTAGGACTTCATTTTCGATATAAAATTAATTTTTGGTGCAATGTATGGTAGGTGAAACCCAGATTAGACGCGAGTACTTTAAAGTTTGGAGCAGTATACACTGACCACATGCTACAAGCTTCTTGGAAGGATGGTCTTGGTTGGTCGGCCCCTTCGATTGATCCGCTTGGCTCTATTTCACTTCACCCATGTGCACAGGTTAGTGTCCTATCCTGGGTTTAGACGTTCATCGTGAGTTCAGTGGAGGAAATTAAACTATTTGCGAGCCCTCGAGACTGTCCTTTCTTTAGGCAGTGAGTCGGATTGTTAAAGGATCTACAGATGCTAAGATATGAGTCAATTGTAATTCATACGATGCTTATTGAGAGGATTGGAATTTCCTCCAGGTGCTACACTATGGAGTTGAATGCTTCGAGGGTATGAAGGTCTACAAGGGGAAGGATGGTCAATTAAGATTGTTCCGGCCTGAGATGAACATGGATCGTTTGGCTCGTTCTGCTGCTCGTCTTACCTTACCTCAATTTGACAAGGTCGGAAATCTGAACTAATCGATAGGTGGAGATTATTCTATGCACGATGTGCCGTTGATTCGATTCATTACAAACTTGATGTGTACCATAGTTATTTAATGCAAAATTTTATGAGAATATCTACAGCACAGGGTTGTTCTGGTCATTCAGATTAAAATTTCAATTACTGCTTCTTTATTTCAAGTCGAAATTTGTAAATAATTATTTAGGGTAAATCTAGGTGATGTATTTCAGGCATACATTGCTACTCAGAACCTGAACATTTGTCGTCTTTTTTCTCTGCAGTTAGAGTTGCTGGAGTGTATAAAGGAGCTCGTGCGGGTGGAGCGGGATTGGGTTCCTGATGAAGAGGGGTTTTCGGTTTACATTCGACCGACTATGATTGGTACCCACCCGTTTCTAGGTGTCTCTCCGACCAGAGAAGCGATGCTATATGTCATTCTCTCTCCAGTTGGTCCGTATTTTCCTAGCGGCTTGAAGCCAATCAAACTTTATGTTGAGACAGAAAATGTGAGAGCCTTTCCTGGAGGTGTTGGAGATAACAAGATTGGTGGTAATTACGCCACAACTATATTGCCTCAGCTGCGTGCTTCTCATATGGGCTGCTCGCAAGTACGTCACATGTCTATCACTTGCCTATTTCACTTGTTTTAGCTGAAATGGCTCTTATGAAAATAATTCAGTTCTTCCGACAATATGGTTAATAAAATCTTTTTTATGTTTGTGAACTTCGCAGGTACTGTATGTGCTACAAGATGGAATGTCTGAGGGAGGCCTAGTTGGAGAGTCAGGGTCAATGAACATGTTTTTCCTCATTCGGCAAGAGGGGGAGGACGGGGAACTGGAACTTGTGACTCCTCCATTGGATGGTCTCATACTTCCAGGGGTTACGAGAGATACAGTTATTAAACTCGCACAGGGATTTAGAGACATAAAAGTGTCTGAGAGACCTCTGCATTTTGATGAAGTGAGTTTTAATTGTGGTTTGATGTAAGGTTTGTAACGTCACAAATAGGTGTACGGATCTCTTAAAACCAAAACATTGTTTAATTAGAAGCACTCATGAATTTGAAATTATTACGTCTTGAGCTGCTTTTGACACGATGGACATGTGCAGGTGGAGCGAGCCTCGGAAACTGGTCGCTTACTGGAAGTGTTTGGTACAGGCACAGCGTGCATGATTCAGCCCGTAATGAGCCTTACGAAAAAAGATCACACCGAAATAAAGATTCCATTTAATGCTGATGCTGCCAAATACTGGCTTGCGAAGCCACCTGGAACAGGTTTCACGCTGAATTCTTTTATGGAAGAGCCCTTCAGCCTTTGTGGCCGTCTCAGCAGATCACTCCTTGATGTGCAATATGGGCACGTCGACAGCGAGTGGTCAGTTGTAATTGACCCATGAACAGTTTCACAACAGCAGCAATGTACAAAACAAAAACACATGGTTACACCACCTCAAAGGAGTAATTTTGTAAAAAAAAACCTCGTCAAATACGTCAGAAGTATTTCGTTTGGAGAGATAGTTTTCTCGAGTGAAGAAGCTCTGACTGGGCACCTCACAATCCCTGAGGAAATGTTTTCACTATACCAACCCTATTTTAGGGACTGCATAGTGAAGCTTTACTATGCATAGAATTTTATGGATTTATATCGGTCTTCAATGTCTATAGAATTACCATGCATAGAATTTCAAACTGATGAAATCCTTTCAGTCAATGTTTCAAAAGTAACACAATGTATTATTGTAAGTTGAATTAGAATGCAAAACATTGGTTCAGTATTAAATCAGGTTTCCATTTGTGCGACAGTAAGAAGCATTGTTGTAAAATACAATGACATTGAAGACCAAAATAAAGTAATAAATAAATTATTTTTTACAATTTGGATTTAGATATGATTTTGTCAGAAGAAGTGTAACTCTAATTATAACTTATATTTTTTGAAGATAAATTTTATCAGAATTTTTTAATACATATTTTCATTTTAAAATGTTTAAAACTCTATTATTAACAAAATAAATTAATCTATAGCAAAAACAGATTGAAAATAAAATTAAAATAATTAAAATTAAAAATCTAATTAATTACTGCATATCAAAATTTGGAGCCTATAAAGAAGTTTTTTAAAGATCTAAATAGAGATTGTTATTGATAAATAATATTTAATATTTTTATGCGAACTTAAATAATATTAAGTTTTATAAATATTTTTTTACTATTTTTATTTATTTTTACAACTTCTCAAATAAAATATAGGGTTATATTTAATATTTAATATTTAATTTTATTAAATACTTTAAAAAATAATTTTAAAAATATTATATATTTTATTTAAGAAAAGATATCATATATATATATATATATATATATATCCCTCAAATATGTTGAAATAACAAGAATATCTCTATATCCTTGATTATAGTAAATATATCTCTCAAATTAGTGATAATAGCAAATATATTATTATTGGTGATAAGTTATCACCAATGTTTCTTGTTTAGTTGCCATTTGGGGCTCAAACCACAAGCTGCCCAAATTTTGTGGCACATCTTTTTGGCTTTTCAAGAATTGAAAAAAAAAAAAAAAAAAAAAAAAAAAAGAAATCCTCTTTATCTTTGGTTGATTTGTAGACCACGCCTTACATTGTAAATTCTTGGCAGTGCTTGGCTAGTAGCAATTTTTAGAACAACACTTGTACTTTTTGAAGAATCTTGTGGCAAAAAGAGATCACAACAAAAGCTTATAGCAATTACCTGAATACATGAATGTTATCAAAGTGCTTGAATGGAAGTGAAATAAGTAGGAACAACCATCTAAAAGGGGTGAGAGGACCAATTTTTGTTTTGAATTTCTGGTTGATGTCACAAGTGGCAAGATGGATCCACGAATAATGGTTCAAGTGGTACAGGGTGCTTTGCTTATTGCCAATGCGTTGTTGTGTAGTAACAGCCATCAAGTGAAAGAAAAAAGGAAAAAAAATTATTATAGAGGAGCTTCAATAAAAATATTTTAGCAAATTATCTTGGAAATATAGATAATAGACAAGGAGGTAGTAAAAAAATAAATAAGTGTTAATATTACCTTTTTTTAGAAGATACTTCTACTTACTTTGTAGGGGCAAAAATGAACCAAATCAAAATAAATGAGATAAATAATTGATATAGACATCTTTAGGAAGAAGTTAAGAATAGGTTTTAGCAAAAATTACCTCAAAGTACAAAGAATTGATACCCAAAGAGGACTAGTTGTGAACCAAGGTCGAAATCAGGCCCCAAGGCACAAAACTATGCACTTGTGGCGACTCCAAGATTCTTTGGTTGATCAAAGAGTGGAGTTTGAGAGTAGGCTTCTGAGAATATTTTTGAGAGTTGATTTTATGTGATTTCAAGGAATATTGAGGTTTTGAGGGCTTTTCAAAGTAAGAAATGTATTTGGTGGATTTTGATTTTGAAAAATTAAAAGAAGTTCACAATTTTAAGGATTTTGTGAGTGTTGTAGCATATTAACAAGTGAAATTTTTTCAATCTATCATTGTATTTGTCTTAAATGTATTTGTAAATTTTAATATTAATCAAATAATTAGATTAACAATTACAAGAGTTTTTGTGGGTTATGGTCTCAGATAACTGAAATTTATAGTCAATGAAGATTTTTGCAATCTTGAAATATTTATTATTTTAATTATAGTAAAAATTAGTGATAGTTATTTGGACTTAGAATTCTACACACCAACCAATGTTTGAAGAAATTGAATACCTCAGCAAGGAGAAATTGCTATAAGAATATTAACATCTAGATTAGAGAAGGAGGGTGGTCAACATCCAAGCAGGTTAGAAGCTTTTTTCTTTTGAATTGGTGAATTTGATTTTTTTTCAAAAAAATTATGCTTGTTAATTGCTTGTGAATTAAGATATGAGTGAAATTTTAGTGAAGAACAATGGTTCAATTAATATTTATTGAGGTTTTAAAACAAATATAGTAATTGATTAAAATTTACTAAAGATTTTCTTAGGATTGTTTAGGATTTGTTTAGGATTTAGGATTTGATTAGGGTTTAGAATTTGGTTAGGATTTGATTAGGATATGAATAGGATTTGGTTAGGATTTCATTAAAGTTTGGTCTAGAATTTAGGATTTGGTTAGGATTTGATATGGATTGCATTAAGATTTGATTAGAACTTTTCTAAGATTTACTTAGGATATATTTAGGATTTATATTTTTTAATACTTCTTTAAGGTTATTGTCATTTTTTTAAGGTTTTTATTTATTTTTTCTTTAGGATTTCTTGATTATTATTATTTTTTGAGATTTAAGTGTATTCTGTGTTGTCTATTTTGAGAGAGACCAAATTATTATATTTATTTAAATTATATTTTTGTGATACTACTCTTAAAAAAAAATAAAAAATAAAATAACAACAGTCAATTTCTACTTCCTAATAAGCATTTAGAGATCTATTACATTGATTTATTACTATCATACAATTATTGCAATTCCTCCATTTTTTTCCATTAACTAGTATGTTGCTGTAAACTAACTGCTTCTATTTCGACACAATTCCTTTACGGCATCAAGTCTTCTTATTCTCTCTGTTTCCTTCTTGCCGAAGGTTCACGACACATTTTTCAAAAGATAGAGTGTGTCGGTGGTGTCGGTGATGTCAGGACCTGAACTGGGTTCACGAACTGGTCGCCAAAAGTTGCATCTTTGAACACACTGAAGCTGGTGAAACCTAGTGTTCCGACCCTAGGTGTTAGTGGCCCAGGTTGACTGAGCCGACGTCCGAATCACTGTCACGCGTTTCGTCGGAACGTGGATAAGTATTTGGTCTGTATGGGATAACCCAGTTGTGACAAAGTCGGTAATTGGAAAAATGTAATGGGAGCCTTACAGTACGATAGGTTTTGCCTCGGCTACTCGGAAGAATCAGACAAAAGGATGCAGAGATCGGTCCACAAACTTCGAAAAGGAAAGGGAAAACCGGCTGAAAACTTGTGCTCATCATCAAGCGACGACTTGAAGAAGCAAAGACTTTACTAGCAGAGAGTCGGAACGCTCACCAACAACAACAAAAGTGTGTTTTGTCGTGTCATGTCACGCGTTCTGCAGCATCTTTTAGAGTTTTTCCGAACTGCGAACTTGCTACTGCCTTCCACAAGACATGCACTGGAAAAGTCTGGTGATTTATTATAACTACTACTGTGTTCTTATATGTTTACCACTTAGAGTAACATACTTTTGTTCATTTCCGAAAAATAATCATGTTTGTTTAGCAAATTATATCTGTATGTTTTAATACGCTAAGTAAAGAAATTGTGTGAGGTAACGACCCGAAATAAAGAAACAATGAAACAACGATATCCGTTGGAGGGCGGCATACATTGCTGGAAAGCCTTATGAAAAGCATTTAGTTCACCGTCAGCAAATTAGACAGATAACCAATGATGCATTTGAAAGCAAAAGAGATGGATGTAGTCCGCACGCTTTTATAGTAAATACTCATATATTACATCTTATTCGAATACAAGGATAGCTTTGATGGTAGCGTGCATACCAACACATAAATGAAGAGGCATAAACAGTACAAATAAATAAGGAGACCAACGATATAGTAAAAGATAACATGGAATGCATAGATCTGACAGACATCTGTTCAGCAACGTAGCTAGTAATCAGTTTGTCCTATTGTACTTAACAAGGAACATGAATACGGCTGCCACTTGACAGAGACTCCAGCTGCATCTTCAACTGCATTGAGAGCAAACCCAACAATTTAACCGAAGGGAGCACCAAAACAGCCTGCAATCTCTTAGAATTTGATGTTTTTGTGTTAGAATGCAGGAATAGCTACACCAACAAAAGACAAGACCATGTTCCATAAGAGATTGAAGACCTGTGCAAAGATGTCCAACAAGTTGGTCTTGACTCTAACCTCAGAGGGGTTTCCTCAGGAACCCCCCGAACAACCGAGAATGTCGTTGAAGATTACACATCGTTCACATGATTGGATTCCGACGGTTTCGTAGACTGCAACAACCAAACAATAAATTGTTTGAATTCAAGCAGTAATTTTTATATCCCTCATTTCCAAGTTACTCCCACAAAATCTAACTTGAAATTCTAGAAGACGAAGTAGAAAAAGATCGACAGTACTTTGCAAAGAGATCATGCAATCTGCACAATCAATTCGTGCCCAGTACAACGCTTGGCGAGCACGCCTGTGAGTGAATTGGACACACACACACACACAAAAGGAATAAATAGAGTGCACTTAGTGCTTACTCAACATTCTCCTGCACACCATGTAGATGTAGCTAGCCCAAATACACTTAGGCTAATCCTGATATGAATACAATATAAGTTAAATTATTTGACACACTTGCTGCCTGATGGTAATGACCAATTGTCTCACGTCCTCCACAAGCTACGTTCTAAATTATTCGAGCCACAAGTCTGTTACACATTGCACAAGTGCCCAAAGACTGTCTAGTTAGAGAATGGGTGATGGTTCTTCATCTCCTTGCAGCTCCATACCGCTCGACTCCTGCTACAACACCTGCTTTGTAACCTATTTTTAAACAAGCTCTTTCAGAAGACTTTGAAAAGCTACACTCCTATCTTGAGATTTCTAAGACTGAAACCTCATCAGAAACAATTCTGCACAGCAGTCGCACAAATCCACTAGCCTACGTTTTAGTAAAGAGGTGGATAGAGAGAGAACCAAGGGTACGGAAGCGAGAAAAAAAAAGGCAGAAATTTACACACCTTACCCGCAGTAGCTGGAGCTGTTCTTAGATCTACAATGCCCGAAGAGGGATGTTGAGTGAGCTGCCCATGATTGCTGTGTGGAGCCATACTGATCTTTGCACTATTAGCCTCGAGCTTGGGCGAGGAGCCTTTGACATATAGAGTGGGTTGTGGCTTATTTTCAAACCGCCCCACCGATGGATACGTAGCCATGTTGCCTCGAGGGGGACGCCAAGGCTTTGTTGAGGAACCGCTCCCATGATTAGACATATTTCTCCTACTCCTATTCCTTTGCCAAACCAAGATCTCTATAAACTAACTTATGCAGGAAAGCAGGCAGCCCGCTAGGCACACGATTCCCTTCAGCACTTCAAACTGCAATCCAATCATGCCGATGATGAAGGGTGTCAGAAAAACCCCCAAACTTGAGGGATACACTTCACAAAATGACAACAATGAAGCATTTAGTTCAGCCCAACGATTTTGGACACTACAATGTTCAGTCTAAGCAGCATTACCAAACCTTGGTGTCTCTGCCATCCTCGAGTAATATCCATCTCCACTCAGAAATTAGTAGTAAGTTTGACAAGCTCAAAGAGGTTTTAGCTGAAATTTTTATTCCTTTAGGGGTAGTGAATTCAAAACCTTGAGAGCTTTCTGCTTGGAATCCCCAGGAATGGACCACAAAAACGACTCTTGTTTAGTTGATTTTAGTTAGTATTTGAACGAGTAAGAGTTCAGATTGTGATGTTCCCGCCACTCACCCACATACACAACCGACAAGGACCTGGTTCTGAGACAGTGTCTAAAACCCATCCTTGCTCAGTGAAAACTCTTCCAGATTCTAAATTCCTCCACCCGTCATCTCCGCACCGATCTCACCACTTCCTCACAAAATCAACATTCTTTGCTTTGCGTCATCTCCTGGAAAACACATGGGAAAGAGAAAACTAAAATCATATCGTGAGACTACAGAACACACAACAGAAGAAAGTTGCATCTGAATACAGAGAAATTTCAAATGCCAGAGCGACGTAGAAAGGTTGTTCTCCATCACTTCAGGAACGAACTCAGACCAACAGAGGATAGAGAGCCAACAATGAACGTCCTGCGCTCCCACAATGCAATCATGATCCTCGTATCAAGGCTCTTCTAAATAAAACGCCACCACTATGCTAATTACCACTCCGAGGCACCACTGACGTTGTTGCGGAGACTTTTGTACGCGTGTGCCCGGATCGTACCGATCCATTCACGGAAAAACCAAGAAAAATTGGAAAAGCCGAAACAACAACAACAACGCAAATCCATAATCGGACGTTGAAACGAGGTACAGAGGAATATTTCTACGACCTACGTTGTCACCAATGGCAGCACAGAAATCCCCGACCAGCACCCAGCGCACCGCAAGAATTTGAATCACTCCCTGCAGTTCAAGCCCAACCCGAGCACATTGACGAGATCACGCACGCCATCCAAACGACCCACATCCAATCACCAAGCCGAGCGCAGCGCACCACACCACACCGAGCAAGCACCCAACTGTTCATAGTCTGTTCCACCGGTTGCAGAATGCAACCACACAAGACGCGTACAAAAAAAATTCCAACCCGAGGGAGAGAGTGAGACAAACCCATGTGTACCAGAATCGCCGCTTCTCCGCCCACAAGCCAATTGACACCGGGGAAGAGAAATCCAGGTCTCCTCCGCATCCGCAACGCTCCGCACAAGCCGAGGGGGGTGGGGGGTAGAAAGGGGGAAATTGTCAAATTCCAGGTTGAGCTAAGCAATCTGGTCACATCCCAGCAGAAACGAAACGAGAACAGCAGGCTGGATGCATGGTGGGCTACAGAAGCAGCGCGAGAAGCAGAGACACGGATCCAATTATGGGAATGGATCGTAGGCCATGAAATGGAGCAGAGAGAAGCAGAGAGAGCGCGAGAGCGGTAGCAGTGTTTGGTCAGGCAGGCAGGCAGCCCTGGTGCAGCACCCCAGCAGCACAACTCAGCATCAGCAGTATAGGAGTAGACCTTAGCCTCCCTTTGCCTTTCGCCTTAGTTTTCCCCTTCCCCCTCTCTTCCTCCATTCCTCCCTCTTCCTTTCCCCTGTCTACCCCCTTTTTCCCCTTGTTGCTCAGACCTGGCGCTGCTGCTGCTCCGGCCACCGCCAGGAGGCCCCACCGCCCTGTGCTGCTTGCGGCCTTCTACGCCAGCAGGGCCCGCCCACCTCGCCTACTCGGCCTCCGACCTGGACAATCCCGGGGCGGGAGGGGGCGGGCTTAGGGATGATGCGGTTACCCGTGCCCGATGACTCATCTGAGTCCATCCATGTGTTCATTCGTTGTGCATATCCTCTTTCTTTCATTCATTTATTCATTCTCCCTGTCCGAATGCTGCGGTAGAGGAGGACAATTTCGCAGTGCCTTCCTTCATCTTTCCGCTCACTTCACTTGGTGAGGACGGTGGCCCAACTGCAAAGAGCCACTTTCCCTTCTCATGGGGGTGGGGGCGAGGTGGTACTCTCAACTGTACGAGTCCACCCCCCCCCCCAAGAAAAATAAAAAATAAAAAATAAAGTTGAAAAGTTAAAAAGCCACGTATTGCCTTTTTCGACTCGACCCTATTTCCACATAGTGCGCTTCTCGAAAATTAATTGATTGTTGTTGTTTTTGAATTTTTCTTTTGTTTTTTGTTTTGTTTGTTTTTTTATTCGAAAGAATCAATGCCAATTGTTCCCATGTCATTGTGTTGATCTTCGGTCGTTCATGTAACATTTTGATGGCTAAATTTTTGGTAGATACTCACCTATTGAACAAAATTCTTTGATGTATAATAAACTCTATTTGGTGTGAGATTATACAATTTTTTGAGTTAATTAATTTGAATGAACATGACACCCTAAAAATAAATAAAAGTTTAGTTATAAATCAAGATTTGTGCATAGCTTGTACAAAAGCATTAGCTAATTTTTTTTCTTTGAACACATCTTTAGGTAAATATTTTACCATTTGAATGTTTCTGCACTTTTTGGTGTGAACTTAATGTGGTTACAAGGTCTTTTAGCATTGTAGTGTTATTCCTCCCTTTCTAAACATTTTAACTCACTTGGTCCTTAATTTTTTATATTCTTACATTGATAAATAAATACATATATATATATATATATATATATATATATATATATTAAATTTTATATTTCTAAATGTAGACTATTTTTATTATCAAATTAATTATAAAAATTACTGTATTACAAATAAATTTTATTAGTTGCACAAACTTCTTTTGACATTGTTGCTTTCCTTGAATAAATTTCTCAATTAATTGATCAAGGTATTATTAATCAGTAATATCTTCTACATGCAAAATACCAACATTTTCAATCTCAATTTTATGTTTAGGAATCAAAGTATTGAATTTTTCTCTAAAGATTTTAAGATTTGTATTTCTTAAGTTCTATTTAAAAGTTTTTCTAAATGATTTATATATTTTATAAAGCATACATACAATTCGAGCATATATACAGTTTACATATTGTTTTTTCACATATCTGAGCAGGCTTCTTCCACCTTGATCTATTAGCTACAAAGCTTGTGTTGTATTTAATATGTGATGTATTTTTGCCATATAATACATTTTTTTTTCTTTATTTTTTTTATTACAATTTCATACTAAGTTTAAAACATGAACAGTTTAGTTCATAATAAAAGAAAAGAAATAAATAATTATAGAGCTTCACTATACCAAATATCAAGTCCTTATATATATATATATATATATATATTCATCCATATCCATATTAGTGAAATAATTTTGTTCCCTTGAATACACCATACATTTTTTTACATGGAATGTATAATATCTCTTTTATTATAGTTGTGCTTTCAAATTCGGTTCATAGTAATTTCAGAAATGCAAATAATCTCAATAAATAAATAATGTTTTTGTTGCATCAAAAAACTACTAAAACATTACTGTATATAAAAAATTCTTCCAATTAAAAAAAGATATTAGTACCATCTGGACTTTAATATACTTTGTTCTTTAAATATTGGAATTATTTTGGGATTTTTAGATAAACATATAAATGTATATATATATATATATATATATGTGTGTGTGTGTGTGTGTAAGTGTGTAATAATTAGAAGGTCCAGAATGACCTTGAACCACCAAAGGATCATAGATTGCAACAAAGAGGTTGATAGTTCAAATCAAATGCAAATGTAATCAAATCCAGTTGTAAAAGTCCTACCCATGTTTGATGGATGCCAACATGAAGATAATGACTCTTTGAAGCAATAAATATATATATATATATATATATATATTTTAAATGTCTAGGTTAAAAAATCATATCTCTTGTTAGTACATCTTCATGTTATTATTTATTAGTAGATGGATAAAAAAAAATTCAATGGTTTTGTTTATGCACAAAATTTCAAAAGTATACCAACTTGTAACACATTCACTAATTTTAGATCACAAAATATCATGCATATTGCAAGCTCCAATTGTATGTATATGTATATATATAGATTACCCTATACCACTTAACTTGACAAACTTTTACTTTCACCAGGTGTTTCATATTCATACATTACATATGTCTACTGCTCCTAACTCTTTCCACTCATATGAGGAATACTGTGAAATCTTACTGTGTCTGTAGGAGAAATAGATATAATATTTGTGATTGTAATACTAGTCATATGCTTCAATCCATAAAGATACTTAAATCAAGTCAAGCTATATTACCCATTTCTACCCAATCTCTGCTTGTATAACTTGAAAGAATAACTCATGTTATTCTCACTCATCCTGTGATATGAAACCATTCAACAGAACAATGTTTGTTTGTGCAAATTCTTCTGTGGGCATGTATGGAGGATACAGGTAAGGAGTGATTAAAAAGCAAATGAGGCAACAAAAGTACTGCCTGTTTGTGAGCCTTATAATCTCTATGGGGTTGAAAGAGGTCTCACTACTACTCAATTAAAAATAGGGATTAGGAAGTCTAACCTAGATTCTAAAGACCTGTTCCCCATCTCTTATTATCCAAGTAACTTGCAACAATTAGGACAAGGCTGTTGACAATGGAACTTCACACTCCAGAATATCCTGAATCTCAAAGCATTGAAACAACCAGCTTTTCAAATCCCCTGCCAAATAATGATCAGAATGATAAATACTAGTACAAAAGCTTGTGTGTCATAGTGCTTTATCCAACAGACCACACACCAGTTGAGGTCTTGGAGAATGATGAATCAAAGTCTTAAGGATTGCAGTATCACTCGCAAAACCCTTCCAAAAAATAAAAAGATTGCGTTAATCAGAACCAATCAGATAGATAGATATGTAGCTAGGTAACCAACTTCTCTTATTTACACCATGATCTCCACCTGTTACCATAGATTTGTACCTGATTTTCTGCATGTCAAATACAATACATGGTGTAAAGTAATTCATGGGATCCAACAGTGATTATAACTGTTACTACTTCAAACAGCTAAATATTGCTTTGCACAGGAAACATCAGATTTGAAAGGTTTGGAAGCAAATTAGGACTTGACCTTGGTGAAAACTGACTGAAGAAAAGCACTTAAAAGATTCAGCAATTGGTTAAGAATATATATACATATATATATATATATATATATATACATACATACATATTATGAATAAAAATATGTAAACTGAAACTCACTAGCCTAAGCTTTACAATGACAACATTCACGATTCTTCAGAAGTTGAATTTCATGTTGAAGGACTCCAGGAATTTTAGTGAGGTTTCCACTCTTTTATATTTTTATTTTTTGAGAGGAAGAATGAGATATAATCAAATGGAAACTAATAAGAAGTTGACTGATCATTTCGGTGTCCATATTTGTGGTCTAAAACTTCAAAGACAATTCACAACTTACTGTAGAAGCTGAAATGGTTCTTCTCCTCGCTGTCTTGCAATTCTCCACTCTCGACCCAGCTCTTAGACCTACAATGCCGTGTGCTAGACCCTGCTGATCTTCAGACAAAATAAGCATGCTTCCTCCTTGGATGTTCATGGATTATGTATAGAAATTTTCCACAAAATCGAAATATTTTCTTCGAGTTTGGCAAGAGTATTTCTACGCTCATGGCATTGTGGATCTAAGAGCCAGGCCCAAGGTGCAAACTTCTTCACTCGCTTCTTCTCCGACGAGGTGCACACACATCCAAAGCTGCAAACTCTTCTGTGCATGGTTTGGTTTAACCTTTTCTAGACACAGCTGCACATGATGTAGTATTTAAGTTAAGAGTGCCTGCAGAATATAACAAAGCCGCCGCAAACGTGCAAACAAGATTCACTATACAGTCCTGATGATGTGATTCCGACTTCATTGGCTCATGCCATCAGTTTTAGGGTTTAGAGTTTACGATCTACCGCATTGCAGTTTGCAGAACCAGTCCGGGTGATCATTTGACGCTGCTTACCTCGACGGCTTCGTGCTGGATGACGCATGCCACCTTCATACTCCCTCCGGCGAAGATCAGGGTATCCACGACACCGCTGATCTTTGGTTTCGAATTATCTGACGAACCTCTCTTCAGAAAAACGTGGCCTGGGCTTCTCGATGGCGACGACACCCTCATGCAAGCAGAAAACACGCGCTGGTGTCTGAGATAAACCACAAGCTTCATGACTCCCTCTAGTACTAAATAGGCGCCCGGTTTCGGTGATGTACGCTTCTCAACTGATCTCGTACACTGGTTTGCAGCCTCCGCGGTGCCGCACCTTCAACTGGCCTCTCACGGCATCACTCGTATCGACGTGACCCCCTGTAGATTTGTCCCAGCACGGATATGGGTAGGAAGTCGATTTATGCTCATTCGACCTCCACACACACTGGAAACAGGACCCAAAAAGCCTATCCCGTAGGAGCGCAAGTGTACAGATCAGGACATGCTAGGCTTTCTGTTACTGTTCCTCTGTGACAGCTTGCAAGTGCACTTGTGGGTACATGGATGATGGGTCCAACCGTGATAGTCCCATTGAAAATTTACCAAGATATGAAAAAGGAAACTTGTGGACTGATCAACTCCTGCTGCGTCACTTGCAAATGGCCAGAACAGTTATGTACGCCTTGCTGTGACAATGGGGCGAACGATTCTCCCATTTTTCCGATATGGCCAACTCAGCGACCGTCCTCCATAGCTTCAAAAGGGCCTGAGTACTTGCAGAACTGGATGAGGACAGTTCATAAGTCTATTGAAGGGGTTCGGTTCATGCCACTAGTTCACAGACGTTCTGTCCGTCCAGTACAAATCCCTCTAACCGTCCCCGTCAAAATCACAACTGTTGCAGGATACCCCTGCTGGAGCAGAATAGAGCACAAAGGACATTGTTGACACGTTCCGAAATCCTTAATGACAAGTTGAAGATGAGTCACTGTCCCATTTGAAGCATATTCAGCTTTTGGCAGCAACAGAGTTTTGTTGAAATTATAACGATTACCGCGCTGATCAGCCTCAGGTTCAACACCTGCAGCCTCGAGCAAACCTTCGAAACTGCATGCTCATCAACAGCAAGCCCCACTGTAAGTACTAATGACTCACGTCCACCAAACGTGATCCAGCAATCACAGATCCAGCAATCGCATGCAAGCACTACAGAGTCATTGCATACCAAAGCACCAGGTAAAAGTAGAAGGTAAAAGCAGTAGGAGAAGGATCAAAGGTAACGCCTGTCTGCAAAACACCTTCATACCAAAAGGTCTCCCCCAATCGGGTTTGAATTTCTAGGTCCATTTCGCGGCCAGGGATGCTCCTATCAGCGTGGGAATTGCGACCTTCCCGCGCATCGTCCTGACCTTGTCACCCACCCCACACGAGCACATTTTTCCCCGCACGTCACAGGCGCTTAATATGAGCTATTAAATAATGCCTAGCAAGAGAATGTACAAAACCGAAGCACAAGAACGCCTTTAGATTGACACGAGTTCCCAGCCACAAAAGCACGCCGAAGTGGGAACTAGTGGTGGAGGACTCCCGGTGGAAGTCAGCAGGGGATATTTCTGTGGGGACTACATTCAAGGTTGTAACTGAAGCTCCAGCAGCGTGGTTCCAAGTGGCGTGAACCCAGTGCCCAGCATGTGTCTGAGCAACTGATGATGCTACTCGGCTTGCTATTGCTCGGTTTCCTCACCGTCTCTATCCGACAATCTGCGCTGCCTTGGCAATGGCAGCGTGTCAGCGAGAGGAGAAGGTGATGAGAATCTAATAGTTTATAGATAGCTTAACAGCGAACGAGCGAGATGAGAGCTCTGCCTTCTTGACCTGTTTCACTTCAGCACGGCAGCCCACCTCACCTCCCCGTCTCCTACGCGTCGCGAGCGTCGCCAGCTGGGTCGTCTTCAAGGTTTCATTGCTAGCTAGGACTGAAAATGAAAACGTTTTCAGCCTATTCTAATGTTCATAGTTCGTAGTTCGTATACAATTGTGGAAACCGTATAATTTTCAAAGATTTTAATTGTTTAAGAATTTTGTAACCATTCTATCATATTGACAGATGAAAATTTGAAGGCAACTGCATCTACTTGTCTTGTTGAGAATTTTAAACTCTAAGTGTTAGATCAAAGGTTATTGAAATCCAAGGTTATTGAAATCTAACAAGATAAGGAGCTTGGAATTTGGATTTCAATGGTTAGTAAGAGTTTCTTTTATCTTGAGTTATTTGTTAGCTTGATTGAAGCAAGTTTTTTTGAGCAAGTTTTAAACTTAGTTTTTAACAATTTTGCTAATTTTGAGTGCAAGTGAACAATTTAATAATAAGTTATTGTTGCCGGAAGATCAACATCAAGGTTGGAGAGATGATGGCCAATATCCAAGAAATTAAGGAGCTTCTTCTTACAATTTGTGGATTGGATTCTTTTGTAAATTATTATATTTGTTTTTAACCATTAGATTACAATGTGTGCAAAATTTTAAGGAAGATCAATGGTTTAAAAAATTATTATTGAGATTATAAAACTACCCTAGAATTGGTTAAGGTTGATTAGGTTTTGGATAGGATTTCATTAAGATTTATTAAGATTTTTTCAGGATTTTTTAGGATATATTAGGATTTATTAAGAGTTACAATATAGTTTTTTAGAACTTATTAGGATTTACTAAGAGTTACAATATAGTTTGTTAGAACTTATTAGGATTTATTGAGCATTGCATTATAGTTTGTTTTGATTTTTTTAGGTTTTTTTAAGATTTGTTTTGGAATTATTAAGATTTATTTAGGATTTGAATAGAATTTGGTTAAGATTTGGTTAAGATTACTTTAGAATTTCTTTAAGATTTATTTATATATTTTTTATGAATTATCTAATGATTCTTTAGAATTTGAAAATGATTTGATTATAATTATTAAAATTTAATTAAGGTTTATTTAGAATTTTATTATAAATATTTGGTTTTTTGATTATTGCAAATATAATTTATTTTCTACAATCAAATGCCTACTGCATTCTTATATTAGTTTTTACATAAATCAACTTAATAGAAGAGGTTGTAGTCTCTTTAATCTCTCCCTTCTCCTTCCTCTCACAAATTTAGTAAGCATCAAGCTCCATACAATATTTTTTTAATAATAATTCAATACATGAAAGCATATTTGTTTATTTTTCTTATCTTGAAATCTAATAGATTATAGTTAATTTGTATTTTTTCCTTCATGTCTATATTTTATTATAAAAATACTTTTACCACCTTAAAAAGGCCATAAAATGATTAAAATAAGATAAAATAAGTAAATGGTTGATATGATTGACTCAAAAGTAAAACTAAGTGTAGAATTGTGAAAGGAATCTTAAGATTGGTTGGATTAAAAGCTCAAAGATAATCATATGTGAGTCATGGTCAATATCAAACTCCAACTACTAAAACAATTAGCTAAGGCATTCAAAGATCGATGTATAGAATTGACAAACTAACTTTGAGTTTCTTCTAGAAAAAAATTATTTATTTCATTTTGTTTTGAAATGACTTTGAAAGAATTATTTAAATTTAAGGCTTCTATTGGTAAATAAGGTTTTATATAATAAAATTATACTTAATATTTTTAGTTGATTTATGTATTTTAAGCAACATATTTAATTAGAATTTCTTAAGTATATAATTGATTGTATGAAATAGACATGTGTAAAATTTTATGCTATTAAAATGATGCAAATAAGAGATATCTAATCTTTAATATAAAGAGGTATTAAGTTTAGGATATTTTAGAATTGGCTAGGATTTTTACAATATCTAAAGATATGTTTGTTGAAATGAAATGAAACTTATAAAGCTTTTAGAAGCCTTAAATTTTAAAATTTATTACAATATTTGCCTATATGTTCTAAAACAAGAAGCATATTTATATGTTCTTCAAGCATGTCACAACTTTCTAATGGTTGGACATTGTGGACATAATAAGTTTTTGGAGCATGTATCTAAAGATTTTTAGTAGTTGCAAATGTCAAAGATTGTAAAAGACTTTGTATAGTCATATAACATTTTTTCAAGATTAAAAATTCCTTGTTATTGATTCTATAAACTTCTTTTACCATTACTTATACAAAAACAATCACAATCTACTATTACTATGGATTTTATTATAAATCTTTCAAGTTGAAGTTCATATGTCTCTATATTCATGTTTGTACATTCTTTTGCAAAAATGGAATATTATGTATTATGTACAAAATCTATTTTAGGTAAAAAAAGAGCTAAGCTTTTTTATGATAATGTCTACACTTATAATAGATTATCAGAGAATATTATATCAAATAAAGAGACATATTTTGAATTAAGATTTTGGAGAGTTCTTTTTAAAATATTGAAGGTGGATATAAAATTTTCTTCAACTTTTCATATTTAAATTGATAAATAAATAGAACCAGAGAATCAAGTTTTGAAATAGTATTTGAAATGTAACAAAAACTATCATCAAGACAATTGAACAACTCTTTTGCCATTGCTTGAGTTTGCATATTATAATTTTGTACATTCTTCTATGTAATAAATTTCATTATTGCCAATTATAGTTATCATTCATAACTTAATATTCTTAATTTTTTAAAAGTTGATAATCTTGTAATAAAAGCTTTAGAAAATTATTATTTAGAACTACTTGCAACAATAAAGGCACAATTAAAAGAAGCCCAAGCATGACAAAAGATCAATATGGATGTCTATTGCAAGGAATTACTAAAATTCAACCTAGAAGATAAGATTTGATTACTTTGTCACAATATTAAAACAATTTGTTCTTGATAGACTTGGAACTTTTCTACATGTAAACAAGTCAAGTTATTACTTATCAATAATATCTATTAATATCATATTACATCAATTCTTCCTAAATAATAAATCGAGCATCTAAATGTGGAAAGAAAGTGAAAAGAAAAAAAAATAATTCTATCAAGTCTAATAGAGCTTTAAATAGAATTTAAGTAATTTCTAATAAATCCAATTAAACTTAAATCTATCAAAATAAATTTAAAAAAGTCACAACAATAAATACAAAAAAATCAAGATTTAATCATTAAAAAAAACAAACGAACAAATAATAATAATAATAATAATAATAATAATAATAATAATAATAATAAAACTTTAAAAAACTAAAAATAAATATTTTAAAAAATAAAAGTGACCTAAAATAAATAATAAAAACTAAAAAAAAAAAAAAAAAAAAAAAAAAAAAAATCCTAAAGAAATATTTTAAAAACAATTAACATCACCTCCATTAAAATCCTAATTAAATCATAGCCAAATCTTAGGTCAAATTCTAATTCAAATCCAAATTAAATCGTCACCAAACCATAAATCAAACTTTGATAAAATTTGAATGAAATCCTAAACCTTCAACAAATATTAGCTAAATTCTAGTTAGGTATTAAACCAAATCCAAAGAAAATAATAATCAAAACCAAATTAAAGACCAAATCCAAAACCAAATCTAAAACCAAATCTAAATCAAATCCTAGATCTTAAATAAATTCTTATCAAATCCTATAGCAAAATAGAACCTCAATAACTAATAATTAAACCATTGG